CGTAAAAACGCAATTAGGCGGAGACCGATCCTCAAATACTCTGAATTCATGCAGTGCCGCACATACTAGTAGCCATAAGCGATCCGCACCTTCTACGGGATTCTTCCTCTGCTTTGAAGGTGGTCTGCTGCCGTAACTCCATTAAGGTCCCCGTTATTTCTCGTTTGGTGCAAGTTTGGTGCCACCGAAATAGGGGGCGTTACGCCCAAATATCTGCCAGTTTTGAGCACAAGGACAGTCCATGCGAAGCGGAATCAGACTCTGTCTCATTGGCGGTCATTCGACGGGGGATGATGGTGGAAGACGCCAAGCTGAAGGGCGGCTTAGTGCCGCGTGTCGATGACGTTGGCCCCGTCGAATCGACAAAGGCAAACATGCACTCCCTTCCTTCGCCCACAACCATCTAAGCGAAGATTATCCAGATGCTTACCCAGTGCTTACCCAGCCAAAAGTCTATTAGTGAGCAATTCAGGCCATCTCTCTCCTTCAAGATTACACTCTCGACGTCGCCCTCAAGTCCGATTGCCGCGGGCGCATTGGGATGCATGCTAAAATAATAAATTAAATATTTGAGAGTGGGTATTCCATCATGTCGCCTGTAGAGGATGTTCTAACTTCGCTAGGATCTTGTAAAGAAGGAACTATTCCAATGGAAATGATTCCGAGCCGGTAGCGCGCGCGCAAGTGAATTTCTTGGCTGCTATTTTGGATGTCCATCATTACCAGTTGGGCGGCATAACTCAAGGTTTGTATTGGCTGACTATTTCCATAATCCACATTTAGCGCCTCTTATATCCATCCTTTGGCCTGCAGTGTATCGCCTCGTTCATCTATCATGACGCCACTCCCGCCGCCCCCCTTCAGGTAGGCTTGGCGTCTCGGACCATACCAAAAGGGGGTCTCACTGATGCACTTGCACTCCGCCTCGAAACGGGAGGCACCAGCCAGGTTCACATAACACTGGATGAGCCACCGTTTGTTTCTATACGCACTGGACTTCGTGGAGAATCACTCCCTCGAATTTGTGGGCAGGGCTTGCCTTCTGAGAATTCCCTTCTGGCGCAGGATTTCGTTACGCCCACAAAAATGGTGTACTTGGAAGCGCCTATAAGTGGACATTACATTCCTCGTGCCGTCCATCGCTCCGCTCAATTTTTTTTTCTATTCCCCACAGCTGATTTCAGGTCATTTGCACAAGTCACATTCTTGCGAGTTTGCTGTGCCTTTCAATTGTGCGGCCCGACTCCGTCTCATCGATCGAATGAATTCATTTATATCCCTGGCATTCTCAGCCTCCTTGGGAAACGGAAAAGACCATGACATTGGATCACATCCCACATTGCAAGCGCCAACCATTCCTTCCTCCGCCCACAACAGCGCCTATACGCGATCTCTACGTAGGCGAAGACTGTCTGCCAGGAACTCACCGAATTCTCAGCTAAGGAAGCTTTCCTCGTACTTGCTTGCTTAAAAATTCATCCAGTCAGTCAGTCAGTTTACAGCTTCATCGCCAGTGGCCGTTCGCGGCGATCTCTAATTATAGGCAAACCTACTGGGGTCTGATAGCCTCGAGACATCCGGAAAGACGCCGAGGCTGTAAGTAAAATAGAATGGTGACAATTTTACCCCGTACCCGGACAGCACTGGAATGACACTCTCTTGGTTCATCATTCTTCTACCGCTGGGCGGCGGGAATCATGACATTGGACAATTGGCATTGATTTGATCTCTCTTCTTGCGCGACGATGTGGCGCTATTAGACCGGACAGCAGACAAGCGAGTGAGTTTCTTCTCCATTATACTGTTCTTTTAACATTCAACTATTCACTTTATTCTGGCACTTTGCACGAGGATTAATGTTCACCATCTGCCCGCTTTCAGCATCCTATGACTTTTCGCCACAACTCTCGGCCCATTACTGTTCGTTTTCTGTTGTTGGCTCGCGGGGCTGGGCTGATGTTTCGGTTTCCAGGGGTTCTGTCTGCTTTTACGACGCATTTCTCCTCCGGTACCGCTCTGCTGCCCCATGGCTCCGTTGAACTAACTAACCGGGCTCACTTCCCAGGACACTACGCACAAGACACCGATGCGTCCAAAAATGCAAACAACGGCCAGCCGTCATTCTCCTGGTGACATTCGATTGACGAGACTCACAGCAGGCGCATCTATTGATTTTTTAGGTCTTTGGCACGTTGATTACGGGATCAGGTGTGTAGATCACGCGGGTAGATCACGCGAGTCGCACAACACCATATCTATTGCTGTGTCCGAGTACAATAGCGGGAGCCCTGGGTACAAACACATATTTTTGGTCCTATGACATTGTTTCCAATGCACATAAGTCCTCCCTACAAAAGAATCAGCCCAATTGCATGTCATATGGTCCTGGTAGGACCCATTCAGACTGAACAAGGCTCTTTGTGCCAGATAATCCAAAACATGTTTTTTTCACAGTTTCCCTCCTGGAAACAATCGCGGTTTGCACGGCCGACGGACCGGAAGGCAAAACAATGCGCCGTCTTGTGTACTAGTTCAATTACATCTTTTAGGTTAAGAACGAAACCCTTGCAAGCTTTGGATTCAACGAGGAGCGCACGGATAAAAAATTGACAGTCACTGCGTTCCGACCCCCCCTAGACTCACCTCTGTTTAGGTGTGGGTAGCTGTGTCTAGGGTAAATCTAGGTAAGCGGAGGGTACTAGACAGACTCTGTGTACGTCCCTAGAGACAAAATTTGGCTAGCTCTGTGTAGCCTCTGTGTAGCCTCTGTGTAGCATCTGTGTAGGTACCCCAACAGGGTCTGTATAGCCCAGCGCAGATCAGTGTAGGTGTTCGTAAGCACCTAGTCGGAGCAGCGATATTTGCCTTGCCGTCATCTTTGGGTCCGGGCCTGTCCAGAACCTAAGTGACTGGACAGATATTTTTAGATGGATACTTTTAGATCCTAGAAACGACGACATGCGACCAAGTTTACCTGGAGATGATGCCTGATGTCTTATCTTGAGCCAAACATATATGTTGGCATCTGTCTAGGTCACTACACTGACCCTGACGGACCTAAACTGACCTACGCAGAGCTAGGCAGACACTCACACAGCTAGACAGATCGAGCGAAAGCGACTAGGATTAAAAAATGCTTGATCACCAAATCCAAGTCTAGTGGCCTACACAGAAACGTCTGTGTAGGTGGCCTAGCCCCAGCTAAGTCTAGGGGGGGTCGGAACACAGTAAGTCCTGCTTGAAATTCCGCAGGCTATCATCCGGCAAACACCAGCCACAGAATCAAGGGGGAATCGGGATTCGAAAAAAAAGACAGAGGGTCGATAACTTTTTTTTCGACCTCAGGCTGACCTTCCCTCACCCCCCCCTCCAGCCATATAGGGAAGGAGTTTCTCACGGTCTGTAGGATTGCGTGCCAATACAAACAACCGTGCATCCACTGTTCTTGAACTTTTTTTGAGAGCTGTGAAAGAGTACGGTGCTCCTTCCCGAGCTCGTGGCGACCGTGGAGGGGAAGATATAGAGGTCTCGGTGTTGATAATAAAGTACTGAGGCCTGCCTCTGGGACACTCAAACAGGTGTCCCCATTGGCCCACCATTTGAAGGGCACACTTCAGGTGCTAATTCCGTCCATTTCTCACCGGATGGCAGACAAATTGTGTCTGGGTGTGGACTACCGACACCATTATTTGCATCTGGGATGCTCAACCAGGTGCTCCTGTTGGCCTACCATCAGAAGGACAAAGTGATTGGGTTAATCCTGTCTGTTTCTCACCGGATGGCAAGTGGATTGTGACTGGTTCTGATGACAAGACAGTTCACCTCTGGGAGGCTCGAACAGGTACCCCTAATCTCCCGCCATTAAAAGGACACACTAGTTTGGTCCATTCTGTCCATTTCTCCCCAGATGGCCAGCAGATGGTGTCTGGGTCCAGTGACAACACAGTGCATTTCTGAGACACTCAAACAGGTGCTCCTGTTGGTGTGCCATTAGAAGGACATACTTCCGTTGTCACTTCTGTCCATTTCTCATTGGATGACAAATTTGTCTATCCACAGCAGCAGTGCAGGAGTCCACACTTCAGGGTGGAAAGATTATCAGTACAAGGCAATGTCAAGAAGTAGGAGCATACTGGGTCCAACCATTGTCCAAGATTGTAGCCCTTTCTCCATCTACCCACCAACTGCCATCCTCAAACCAAAAATCATGGATACTTGCAATCTCAGCCGCATTGTCCAATTCATAGCCCAAGGGGCAGCAGTAGATCACTCCTTCACTGATGCATGGATGGAGATTGAAAAGGATTGAACCTGTGGGCTATAGTTCCAGCAAATGGTATCGTAATTGTTGATTGACATTGAAGCAATGACTTTTGAGTTGGGAAGTTGGTCAAAAGGAGATTTAAGCTCTGAGATTCATTGGATAGAAGGAATCAGAGAGTTAAAATGACCGGTTGGAGGTCATATCCAGAATGTGCATTGATTTCCTGTTTGAAGATGAATGGTTTAAACTTCAGGGAAGAATTAAAGCAACAAGGAGGCCCTGTGACTTTGTACCACCACCTGCTGCCCACAATGCAGTGAGGAAGTCACTCGACCCCTCCTGAGCACCACTCGACCCCACAACCACGAAGGTGCCATCACCATAGGCATAAACAGATGGCTTTTGCCGCCCATGCCCACCACCATGCGAGACTGAACCCGTAAGCCTGCACCCAAACCTGGGAGGTGCCATGGTGACAAATTGGGAGAGCACCGCATAACCTTGTGATGTGGCACTCTTCCTCCACCTCCTATGATGCTGGCCAATTCCACTGCCCCCGTAGACAGCCCACAAAAGGTCCCACATAGAAGCGACTCTGACGATGTCACGAGAAACCTCCCCTTCCTCTGCACAACGCATGAGCAAGATTTGAACGCCTGACAATCGCTCTTGCCTTCTCAGATGTCTAGCAATGACCAGTCATGAACGTGTTGGGAATATGCTTCCTGAACACAATGGCAGAATAGCTCAGTTGGATACAGAGCATCTCACATGATATGAGAAGGTCCTGGGTTTGACTCCTGGTTCAGCCATTTTTCCAACATAAAGAGTTCCTTTGATGTAACAGAACAGACATTTGACAGCCTTGCAGTGGGTTTCACCTGGATTGCTATTGAAGCGTGCAAGCACTCCAACAGTATAGGATATATTCAGGTGAGTTTGGGTAGCCAGATACAAGCCAACAGCAGACAAATAGATGCTGCGGCACTCCTTCACTTCCCCCTCAGTCTTTGCACCATTTCCTTGGTTAATACAAGACCAGGAAGCATAGGAGTGCTAACTGGCTTGGAATCTGACATCTGGTACTGCTCAAGCATGTTCACAGCATACTGGTGCTGCAAAAGATGGATGTCTCCAGTATTTGAGTCACGCTCAACCGTGATACCCAACAGCCATTCTGTGCACCAAGATCCTTGACTTTGAATGAAGAGCCAAGTTGAGCAATGACCTTGTTGATTTCAGTATCCTCCTTTGCAGAGATTGTGCCATTGTCAACGTAGATGGGGAGGATGATGTGCACACCTGAGCAACGAAAGGTAGAAGCACATGTGTTTGTTTGGATATTACCGCCCTGACCGCTTTGCTCCAACACAGGGAAAGTTTTGGAGCCCGACAAAATGTGCCAGCCTATGTGGCACAGGGCTATCTCTAACCACGTAAGAACACCATACCACCGATAAATTTGTGGGCAAGATTGGGCAGCAAAAGTTCAAACCTGCAGTGAAAGCTTTTGTGATCAAAAGTAATTGGCTCCAAGCCTTGATATGAAGGTTGACATGATTTTTGGCGGTGGCTGTCTTCCTCACTGACTACTGAGAGCTTCAAAGGAATCTAGCAGGTTTTGGTTCAAGCACATCCTTCCATCATTGAAAGAAATTACAAAATTTGTTTGCGCCTCGGTCAGAGCTGGTTTTTGTTTTTCTCTCATCTTCAACTTGCCCAATCTCTTCCACAATGTCACGAAAATTAAAGGAACACATCTGAGGCGTGAAAGGGAAGTACTCAAATAAAACATTCTGAGGAATTTCAAAAATATTCAAAATTCCAGAACTGGTGATGGTTTTGGGGAACAATGTGTTTATTGCGAGAGTGATACTATAGTTGGAAGGAATTCCTGAGAACGACGGGTTCATTGGCATATTATCTCCGTTTCGAAGATATAAGATTGGCACATTGCATTGGTGCCTGAAGCGGAGGCAACTGTCCCGCGACAGAGGTCACTTTTGATTAACGTAAGGCCATAAAATCGACGTGACGAGCGCGACTCACTCATCTTTGACGACAATCTACTGGCACACCTCTGGCACTACCCATGGGCACAAGATGCTCAGGCAAGCAGAAAGCCGCATACTGCTCCGCTCTCCAAGATGGAATTTGGACTCACACCAGAAAAATTTCACGTGCTTGACACATAATGCCAATTTACAGCTAATTGCAGTACCGAAGGCGTGGATCAGAAATCTGCTGTTTTGGGACACTTTCAAAGAATTCCTGGTATCTCAGTGAGTTCTGCACCGATTCACCTGAAACCTATATAGAAATACTCAGCTAATTCGTGCGCAATTAGTGATAGAAAGGAACTTTGAAAAGTATTACATATTCAGTGACATGGCTTGAAGGGGCCATTTCGTGGATAAATACAGTTTATAGGCATCTAGACACATCCAAATGATGTAGAATTTTGTCAGAAAAGGTTTTCATACATTTTGAAAGATGTGATAGGGTCAAATTTCGAAAGAGTTCTGCAGTTAGGCTCAAATATCACATTGTTTGCTGATTGCAGTATATTACTGTTGGCTCAATGTCATTACAAGCATGATAAACTAAGATATTGAATATTCAAACTCTATCACACCTTTCAAAATCCATAGAAGTAATCTCTCACAAAAATCTAGGGCATTTGAACATGCCTAGATACCAGCAGATTGAATTGACCCCCAAAGTGGCCCCCCAAACCCAGCGCACCAACTATATAATATTTTTGCAACTTTCTTTCTATCACTAATTGGGCACGAATTAGCTGAGTATTTCTATCTAGGTTTCAGGTGAATTGGTGCAGAACTCACTGGGATACCGGGAATTCTTTTAAAACATCCCAAAACGGCAGATTTCTGATCCGCGCCTTTGGTACTGCAATTGGCTGTAACCACTGCAGTGCCTCGAGGTACACCCTAATCCACCATCCCATACTGCTCAAGCATGTTCACAGCATATTGTTGCTGCAAAATTTGTGTCTCCAGTGGTCTCCATTTGGTGATGAGAGTGGGATTCACTCTACTCCACACTTCCTCTGGCCCAGATAGGCTTTCGTGCTCTTTCGGAGCAGCATCTCTCAACTCGTTTCCCACCTGCTGCTAGCAGATTTTCCGGCTCTCTTTTCTCGACATCCCCCATCCATCGACTCTTCAGCTTATATTGGCACCGGCTCACTCGTATTGGCCGCGTCTTCGACGCACATTCACACACCACCGCTTTTTCGATTTTTTTTGTGTAATGTGTCATGACGAATATGTTTTCTCGAATCAACTCGCGCCTTGACTCCGTCGCTACTAGACCGTGATCCTCGACACATGCCACTCAGGCAGCATGACCCGCATGGCGGATAATGTTCGCTGCTCACCCGGAGCCGTCCCAATTACCCAAGGCATCGACAAAATCTTCTCCACGCGTCTCCGGGCAGGACTTCCCTCGCTCATCCCTAGCTCCCGGTATAAAGACATGGAGTCGCACGTCCTTATTGCAGCGCACCGACCAGACGAGCATGCTCGAGAGTCAGACATGGGGGGAGTGGTCCGTGGAGACTTTACCTATCAATTGATGAAGTTTCTCCAAGATTCCCCCTCTCTTCAAATCACCTATTCCGACGTCATCATCAGACTGCCCAAACCATTTAACCAGACTCCTCAGTGCGAGGGAACACTTCAAAATTGCTTCATGTTCACTCGGACTGCCCCTGATGAGCCTCCTATTTACCTGGGAGCTCGGGGACGGTCCCGAGCCGCTCACCTTCTCTGTCGGGGTCGGGTCACTTCGGGGCGTTGCTATTGGGAGCAAGTTCACCATGGATCCTTCAAGTTCGCTGCCACAGAAGTTCCTTGTCGCCACCGAGGTCGACATAAATTCATCGATCCTGGCCCCGTCTGCGTGAGACGCCATCTTTATGTCCGTGACTAGGGTCTATTTGTGTGCCAGAGCTTTGGGAACTCTCCGCGTACATGTCGATCCGGCTTCGGGTATCTCATCCGTTTTTCAACAGCAACCGCTGACTGGCTGCGTCGAGCAACACGACTCATCTAGCAACTCAGATCTTTCGTTGAGCAAGACGGGTACCGGGATGCTGTCAATAACCCGCCACAATCCTGATTTGCTGGCGGGACCGCCTCTACAGACGGATCACAAAATGCCGAGCCCCGGTGGTCTTCTCTCAGCGCTGGAGGGTATCCCGCGATTTTGCATTACAGCCGTCTTGAAAATAGTATAAGGGTTTTGATAGAGTGGTGCTCTTCCGATTTGTGCTTACATTTAGGTACTGAAGTCTGTCAGAATGTATCATTCTAGCAAGATTATGGCACCAGAATCAATTCTGGCGCCGGCTATCGTTTTATGTTCCCAGGTCAAATTCTGGCGAGCTGGCGCTGCTGGCAGCTGTTGGCGCGCCCGATGCCAGGCGTGCCAGCTCAGGTCAGCTCAAAAACATTTTGCTGATGGACCTCCTTTGGGAATAAAGTCCGATTGCCCCCAAATCTGGTTCAATTCGGTCAAATAAGTTCGGTTGGGGACATTACCTTTTCTGGACCTTCAAAATAAAATTAGTAGCAATTCCGTAAATTTGGGCCACATTGGTACTTTGTGTCTGCTGCTTGTGCCTCGCGGCCAGACCCGTGCCGTAATTTAGGCTGTATCTTCGGCCGCGCTGTCATCGCGCAGACAGCCAAGCACTGAGGCGCGCGATATGTTACAAGAAACCCAAAAAATTCATTGGGAACACCAGTCGCCGGTGGTTTAAGTTTCCTGAAGACGTTCTGGAGGACCCATCCGTTCGGTGGAACATGATTCCAGCTCAAAATGCGTACTCCTTTCACTTCTGCACGAAGGAAAATATAAAAGAATACGCTCGCTGGGGCCAGAATTGGAAAATTCAAACAATATTGCACAACAGCAGTCGCCAGTGGTTAATTTTCCTGTAGACGTCCCGGAGGACACATTGGCTCCGGTGGAACATGATTCCAGCCCAACGTACGTACTCATTCCACTTCTGCATGAAGAAAAATTAAAAGACATGGAGGTCAGTCAATGTGTGCACTTATTTGGCTTTTCTCCCATTTGTCCCACAATGTTGACGTTGTTTGGCTTTTCTCCCAATCTCACATTCTCCCATTCCGAGTCGCCGACAAATTCCACAAATTTTGGGAAGTTCTAAGATGATACTTGCCTTCTAAAGGAGTCCCTGATCTAATTCCAGGACATTGACGGAGAAAGAATCGAACATTGCGATGTTCATACTGTATGAATCTGAGCAAGTGGTCAAAATACTGTTTGGTGCGAATCTCGGCGCATCGTGCCGAGATTCATGTTTCTAATATTTTAACAAGTAGCAATCATTTAATTACAATTTAGTTTAATTAAAGTCAGGTATAGAGGTGTAGGCCGGGGTGCAATGAGACCTGACCAAGTCCTGAGCCGAGTTGCCTAAGCCAGCCAAAATCGAAAGCCATA